TCTACTATAAATAAGTCATACTTTTTGTTTATTATTTTTGAGAGTAGAAAATCTCTACTATAAATAAGTCATATCTTTTATTTTATTTAATTATTTAGTTTTCATATTTTAGTTTTTACCCTTACTTTAGTTATAGTCTTCTTTGATTAATAGCTTGCTATTTAATTAATTCAAATCTTGAATTATATCAATTACTAGTAGCTTCACTCAGTTAATCTTTATAATTTCTCTGATTTATTCTTTTTTTATTTATTTAATTACTCTTTTTGAGATAATATTCATAAATATTGACATAAATCTTAGAAATTTTTGTTATTATTGAAAGTTATAGTCTAATTCCTCTCTCTTTATGCTTTAATTATTTCAGTCTCTTTCAATTCTATATTGTTAAGATGAATTCAAGTAAAATCTTACTTATCAATTTGTCATAATAATATAATCTCTTATTTCTTATATATAATAAATATAAGAAAAAGATATGAAAAATAATATTATAAATTATAGATATAACTAGTAGATTTAAGATAAGTATTTTTCTTATATTGAAAAAAAGTTTAAAAATTGCTAAAGTATTTAGAAAAATTTATAATAATTCTAATAATTCTCTTATATATTTAATACTTTTATAATATAATAATAAAAAAGAATAAGTAGAATAGATAAATCAACTAATAAAAAAATATAATATAGTAATTCAAATTATTAATCTATATTCCTATTATAATATTATAATTATAAAGAGATTTAATAAAACTCTAGCAGAAATACATTATAAAGTCTAATATACTATCAAAAATATATCTGGAAATTCTAAATTAATAAGAGTATAATTAAAATATTTGTCAGAAGTTATCAAATATCTAAATAATTATTTAATATATCTTATTAGAGCTTCAGATTCTATAAAATAAGATTTAACTTTAGCAAAAGCTATCAAACTAGAATAAGTAAAATCTAAACTATTTATAAAGTATATATATTCTATTGAAAAATATAAGAAAAATAGATTAAAGAAAGATGATATAGTTTACTATTTACTTGCTAATATAAAATAAGAAGAAGATATAGAAAATCAGAAGAATAATAGATAAAATATAAAGTCTAACATTATTTAAAAATTATAATAATAAAAAATGAACTAGTTTTATATTAACTTGAGAGTAATAATGATAAATATGCTTCAAAACAAAAATTTATACTTAAAAAATTAATATTAATTGATTTAAAAATTCTTTAATATCTATTTTAAAGTATATTAAATATTAATTAGTATATTAAAAATATATCTTGAAAAAGTAATTTCAATTATAAATTAATGATATAGTAAATTTTATAAAATAATAAAAAAATTATTAATAAATAATATAAAAAAACTTGCATTATCTCAAGAAGAACATTATAACTCAGAAGCTTATATCAATAATTTAGAATTATTAGAATAAGAATACAAATATGACTATATTTGACAAGTATCTTTTAATTGAAGAAAATATAAGAAAAATTAGTATTCTATTTATAGTTATAGTAGAGCTAAATTAAATATTGTAATAGCTAAAGAGATAGAATTAAAAAATATATTTCTAATATTTATATTAATAATTAAAGTCTATTAATATGAGAATATAAAAATTAATATTAATAAATTTAATTATTAGTATATATTAAAAAAGAAAGTTAATATTCAGATTATTCTTATAGAAGATATTTTTTATTAAAATTTATATAGCAAATTATATTATTCAGATCTGAATAATATTTTTTAACAGAATATCTGGATGTAAATTTATTACTTATTTAAAGATGTGAAAATAATTATTAATTCTAGAGATTACTTTATAAAATAAAAAATATAAACTATTAATATAAAATTTGCAGATATAATAATTATAATAAATATAATCTTTTAATTACTAAATAATTAGCTAAAAGTAAAAATGATTACTATCAATCAGATAGCTTTGTAAATAATTATATATCTATATTATAAATATATAAAAATTTGTATCAGTAGAAATAAATATTATTAAATATTAAAAAATAATAATAATTAGTATTGATAATATTTATATAAATAAGAAAATTTATATTATAAAATTATAACTCAGTATCTAGACTTGTCTCAAAAAATTATAAATCTAATTTCTTGAAAATATTAAAATATCCAAAAGAACTAGAACTTGATATCTCTTATTATAATTACAAATTTGTAATTAAAATTCAAGACAAGTAATATAAAAAATATAATAAATTTTTTTATAAAGAAGATTTAAATAATTTTATCAAATAGTAAGAATAGGATTAACTCAAGAAAGACTTATATAATAAGAATAATATATATTTATTTTATATTTAATATGATAATAAAAATTCAGAAAAAACTATTTAAAATAAACTATTTATACTAGATTTAATTAATTAATCTTTCTAAATCTTAATATCAATATATCAAATATTTAATAATAATTTTATTTCAAATTTATAAAATTAATATTTTAATAAAGTATTTACTAATTTTATATATTAATAAATATTTTTTACTATATATAATATATTTATTTCTATAATAATTTATAATTGATCAAATTCTAAAGTATCTCAGATCTAAATTTATATAGAAAAATAAGATAGAACTTATATTATGAAAACTAGATAATAAATAGAATAAATATATATCTTTGATCTTGCAAAAAAAATTCTATTAATAGTATATATCTTATAAAATTCAGAAATATAAATTTAAGTAATATTTAATTTATTTTTATTATACTGATAAGAGATGCTATAGATATATTTTTAAAGATCTGTTAGATAAGAAATTTTTATTTTGTAAACTGTCATTTTTGAATAGAATGCAATTAGATAGGTATAATAAAGAGTTAAAATTAGTATTCAAATTCCAGAATATTCAATATTTTAATATTATTTCAAAATACTTTCACTCTAATAGCAAGTTTAACCTAGATTTACAAAAAATATATAATTAAAAAAGTGAGATATATATAAAAAGCAAGATATAAATCTTATTTATATTTTATTTGATTATAATTTGTTTTCTTATATTAAGTATATATTAGAAGAAAAGGATTATTTAATATATAATAAATAAAAACTTAAAATATAAATTTTTTCAATATAGTAAATTAATATTCTTAGTTTATTTGAAATGAAAGAAAAAGATATATCTATATTTTTATATAATATTGATGAGATATTAAATAAATTCTCAGAATAAATAAAAAATAATAAATTTTTATCAGAGTTTATTTATATATGAAGAATTTAATAATGAAAAAACAAATATAATTATTAATCTTATATTAGATAATAAATTATAATAAATATTTAAAAATAAGAAAGAAAATTATTATATCAAAAATAATAATCTCATATTAATAAATAAATATTTTGAGTCAAAATGGCAACTTATATAAAATAACTTTCAAATTTTTGTGAATATATCTAAATTATATTGAGAAAATATCATATTTAAAAGAATATTTTCAAATAAAATCTCAGATATAACTAAATTCTCTTATAAGTAAAGTATAATTATTATATTTGAGGATCTATATGCTGAATTGAAAAAAATATAAGAACAAATTATTCCTTATTTTATTAGTAATTGATATCAAAATATCTTATCAATATTAAAGATATTATCTCAATTAATTATAACTTGTGATAGCTAATCAGAGAATTGTGATCAATTATAATAGTTAATTAAAGAATTATAACTAAGTTATAATATTATCTTTAGCTAATATATATATTACAAAAATATATAAAATTATTTGTAAAAATCTAAGTCATCTTGCACTATTTTGGAAAGTAGGAATCTGAGATGATATTCATAGAATTGTGTGATAATATATGAATAATCCAAAAAAATATTCAAGATTATTTTTGATTTTACTAAGATTATCAATGATCCTCTAACAGTTAGATTAGAATTGGACATTCCTCTGAAATTAAATGAATAAAATATATAGCAATTAATTAATTATTTTTTTTATTATTTATTAGCATATTAATATAATATATCTATCTGCCACTTTTATTAAGAAGCTATCTGTGTCCAGTAGATACTTTATACTCTATTTATACTGAATATAAAATTAGTTTTTATTAGTTATGATTTCATATTGGAAAATAATCTTTATTAAAATGAATTTATCACAATGAAAAAATTATCTTTAAATAATGCTTGTGCTATTGCTGAGAGCAATGTCTTTCAGAAAAATATATTAATAATAAATTTCATACCTGGTATGCATCTCTTAGCAATATATAAAATTATGATAAATGGTGTCCATGTTGTGCTAATAATCATCTTACTATTGAATATGCTAAACAAATTGCATATAATAAAGAAGGAAAATATCTCGCTAACCAATACACTAACAATGTAACTCCATTATTATGGCAATATAATAAATCACATATATGGTATGCATCCTTTAATAGTATAAAAAATCATAATACATAGTGTCCATACTGTCAATATTTTAAGCATGAAAAATTATGTCGTGAAATCATTTCTAAATATCTTGGTCCCCCATCCAATATACGTCAACTAGAACTTTTGAGCATTCCCGAAGTCTTCAACTTGATATTTATTATCCAGAATATGGCTTTGCAATCGAAGTGCAAGGAGAACAACACGAAAAATATATCAAATTCTTTCATAGAAGTGATCCTAATAATTTTATTAAACAGCAGGCACGGGATCAACTCAAGAAAGAATTATGTGAAGAAAATTGAATTGTTTTAAGATACGTTTGGTGCTACGAAGACCCATATGTGGTTATTCCAGAGCATCTTCGAGAATTAGGTCTTATTGAATAAACCCGAAACTTTAATTTCAGCGTCACAATAAATATATGTTACATCGCTTTTTGTAAATGTGGAAATTTTTTTGTGATCCGAAACTTTAATGTTGTAGCTTGGAACATAATATCATATATGTTGTAGTTATTCATGCTATCCTATCTAATAAAAACTTAATGAATCAATTTCTTTACTTGTGGCGAGTCCGGAAATTTACGCATAAAAGACATTTGTTCGGTTGGTGTAGTAATGTCACTACGACATGTTCTATATTTAAAATCCTTTGCGATCCGTTCAACGTGCTCCTGCATTGTAATGGGCAAATGAAATTACCGTAAGTGAAATTTCTCATAAACAAGGAAAATGTGACATATACCTCTAAAGATACCAAATGATGGATCGCGACTCCTGCAAGCGGAATCATGGTCTTGTCAACTACCAGCCTGGTAGTGAGGAACGGTATAATCGAGATCCATAGAGTAAGATTCCATTGAATCACCTAATTATTACAGAAAATAATCAATATATATATATAAAATAAACTCTCACGTAATCTCGCTTACCCACGTTTAAAAGTATTACGGCTTCGCCTGGACCTCCCTTACTTTGCAATTGTTGATTAATAGATTTCCGAGCCCTTAACTGCACCTTCAGTCTGTCCTTCATTCGTTGTAGTGGTGTACTTCCCAAAGGTTTATATTTCGAATTCAAGATCGGTACACCGTTTACCACGCATGAAAGGTCCGGTCTTTTTTTAGAACCCGAATTAGAACGGTTTA